CTTGGAGGCACCATTCTTCCACATTGAGATCTTGTTGTGCAGCAGATTTTCAGATCAGCATGGTAAGCTTCTAACTGTGCACTTGTGTCAATAACGTGCAGGTTCATGAATTGCTCCTATTCATCATGTCACTTATTGTCTCACAATCCAAGTGGCCCCAGTTCAGAAAACATTTCTGAAGGGTCCCGACCCGAAACGTCAACTTTCCTGCTCCTCTGATGCTGCCTGGCCTGCTGTGTTCCTCCAGCTCCACACCTTGTTATCTCTGACTCCAGCATCTGCAGTTCTTGCTATCTCTGGATTACTTTTAGTTTTCCAGATTTCCAATCCCTGGAGTGTAATGGCAGAGAAACCCACACTTGATTTGGACTAATTAGATCATGGCCAACTTCCCAGACCAGAAATGGCCTTGTCCCTGGTCTGTGGTGATACCCCTTGACAATCAGGACCCCACCCTCTTCCCAATATACATTTCTCCCTTTGGAGTTCTACATATTGCCATTCACTTTGAGCATTTGCAGAATGTTTGCTACACAAGCTGCTGCCATATGCTGCACCTCTGACATTGCCTTACTCCTGTATCATAGATCCCTCGCTCCCTGACTGTTATATTTATGCTTCACTGTCGTAAGCTTCCTGCCTTTCCCACTGCAAATTTTTTAGTTCCAAACCAGAGAATGCTGGCTGCCCCTGTCTGCAAACCTTACCTCTCAGAGAACCATTGCTGCCTGACCCGGCCTAATGGCAATCTACACGATCTGCTGAGGCCATTGCATTTCTGTTGCCCAGTTGCATGGACAGATGGCGAGGGAGACATCACACTCATTGACCTGCTGTGGTTCCATCTAAAGTGAAGAGTAGGCCAGCACAGTTGGAAACTCACCTGAACTCAATGTAGAGAACTCAACTTGACAGACACCTACTTGTTTTTTTCAGTAAGTTTTGGAAGTGTTAAATTTCTCAACTGAGAGACTGTTTGTGAAGGGGAAGCCAGTATAGCATGTTGTATAATTGGTGAGATGTAAATAAATGCAAGTAGACTTTCACCACCCGATGATGAGAACCTGAACTCACCATCTAAGGAGAGAGGACTCCATTGTGACAGTTTCAGTCAAAAGAACTTGAGCATTAGACTCTCACTTGATTAAATCATCATGCTCGTCACTATTCTCACCACCTCAGGGAGGGGAAAGTTGAGCCTATAAATGTTAGCCAGACATATACCTTAAGCAAATAATATTAAAATTGATCACTTAATACACAAAATCCAGATGGGATCTTTGGAGTCGGACCTCACTAAGGAAAAGGACTTGGCTAAATGATTTGCCAAGTTTGGAGTGAGACAAAGAACTTTAACTCTAACAGTGAAAATAAGCAGTTATGTTGTGGAGGCAGAAAGAGAGAGAGGGTCTACTAGGAGCTGAAAAGCAGCATGTGTGACTAACAGCTGTACAGGAGCACAAAAACATTAAGCACCGAGGTTGTTCCTGACTTTTTTTAAAGTCACTGGGCATGCCTGCAATGAAGTCCTACCTTGCGCTAAAAAAAATCTCCACAGACATTTTGTTTTTAAAAATGGCTACAGAGTGTTGAATGGAAAGTTTCCCACTAAGTTTCATACCTGAGAGGGTAGTTGGAACACTGAGGAGAAGTTAAAGTTGAATTCCAATGAGTTGTATCATATTTTGTTTGAACTCTTAAATGGGAGAGTGAATAAATACTCAAGATCTCAAAATATGCAATGAAACACTTGGGTAGAATAAAGAAGTCCAAAGTTTTGACAAAGTTATTTTGTTAAATTAGTAGCGTTCCCTGTGTTATGTACAACAAAGGTCTTTTTGTGAAGTCCAGTGACATAATTTCTTCCAGTTAATCACCAAAGTATTTAAATGTCTCTTTAAAAGTTAATGGTCCTTATAGGGATTATAAAATAAGGCATTAATTTTAGACCCTGGGGGTTGACTGAGAGTCCACGTTATGAGCTGACGAAGGACAGTTGAGTTTTTGCAGCGTTTCAGTTATTATTTGTCTCTCAATCAACATTAAATCACCTGCTCATTTCTTTCATTGCTGCTTTCATTGAAGAACCTTGCCATGGCAGGCATTCTTCTTTATATTTCCACAGAGACAACTCTTCAAAGAGTTAATTAATTGGCTGTGGAGCACTGTCGGATGACCTGAAGTCATGAAAGGTTACAGGTGAATTCAAGCTCTTAAAGTTAAGTATTTATGTTTCTAGTTTTATATTGAACTGTCCTAAGTATAAAGTCTCACATCCTCGTTACTTTACCTATATCTTTGTAACATAGGTTTGGTCCTTCAGTGTTTTGACAACTATGGCTCTCAGCTCTTTCACTTCATGAACAAGTAACCAAGAATACTGCACACGTTTGGAACTAGCCTGCCCCAAATGCCTCTCCTGTATTTATTTGCACTGAGGGGCATCTGTCACACAAATGCCATTTTTCAAATGAATTTCAAAGAGATATCCACATACCTAATTTGACAGGCAACCTGGTGTGATAATTAAATTTGAGAATTCATCACCAATGCTTCATCTAAATCATAGTTAAAGACGATGTTGAATTAAACCAAACAAGGACGCCTAAGGGACTCCATGGGTTACTAGAACCCATGCAGAGCTCCTTCCATTAATTACTTGCCTCTGCTTTCAAACCTATAACCAGTTCTCTATTCACTGATCTCACAGGTTGACAGCTTACTTAATAGCTTTCTGCCTGTTCAGTTATCAAAGGCTTCTGGAAATTGAAACACAAAATTCTGGGCGATGCTTCAACTTTTTCACCTCTTAAAATTGCAAGTAATTTAATGTGACAGGAACACCCTTTCTAAAAATACTTGTTTGAATTCTTTAAGTGTTACACCTTCTAATTGGATAGACTACACATCCTTAATCAGGTTTCCAACAACTAATCTACAAATTGACAACAAACTAACCAGTTTACAATTCCAAGTGCATGATTTATTAGTCTTCTTAAATATTGGCACAATCTGGGCCTCCCACCAGCTCAGGGGAACAAATCCAGCATGTGGACTCATTGTGAAATATATGAGGTATTGTTTTGTGTAATATATCCCTAATTTCTTCTTATACTTTGGAATCCAATCTGCTTTAAGAGTCTTAATCCTAGCCAAAATATTTTTCCGCATTAAATTCCAATGAATCAGTTTTGGTAGCTTATTTGTCTGTAATATTGACAATCTTGCATCATCTTCAGTTATGAAAATTGGTATGCAATTCTTTTAAAGATTCCATCATATCTTGGTTTACTTCCTTAAAGCTTCCTGCAGAACCTTTCAATGTGTACTCCAAGCCATAAGAGTCAATGGGATAACTTTGTAACATGGCATAGACCAGGCAGACAGTGACAATCTGTCAGTGTCAAGCTCAACTGACTTATTTTTCATCATTCTCTATATTGATACATAATCTCCCTCCTTTATCTTGCTGAAGGTCCTCATGAGTATAATCATGTTTTCAGCAGATTGTCCTTGTCCTCTTATGCTGTCTATCACACAGCTTCTGTACAGAGAAGGACAGAGAAGGAGAAATATGTAAATGTTTTATAGCAATTGCCATATAGGTGGATCAACATGAGACAGAACTGACGATCACATACCATTTATACTTTAATCAAATGGGAGCAATTTAGTTACAACTCAAGAAAGCAATCGTCTCTTTAGAAGGAGCCTAGAAGTTAAAACTGTTATAGTTAGTAAGGCACTAGATTGGAGGAAACACCATTCTTTGAGAACTTGATCATTTAGTCCTGCTGCTGTAGTTGTTCATGGAAAAATTATGCAAGTATTAGCAAACAAAGCATTAGTCATACACTTAGTACAAGCATGGTCTGCAGACTGGAGTGAATAATATTTCTTGTTGAAGCTGGAGAGAAACCATAAACAAAGAACTGTGGCAACTCACCATCCCTCCTTCAACAAAACTTTCCAATCACATGGCCTCTACCACTCAAAAGGACGAGAGTAACAGACATATGGGAAAACCACTACTCCCCTCCACAAAATCCTGACTTGGAATTACATCACCTTTCCTTCACTGTCACTGAATCAAATTTCAAGAAGGTGGTTCACCACCACCTTTTCCAAGGATATTAGAGAGTGGCAGTGAATGATAGCCTAGCTAAAGCACTCACAACATGTGAACAAATATAAAGGAATTGGGACCCACACTATGGTAGCACGACTCAGGTCTTGCTACTTGCCTGTGTGAACCACCCTCGAGAAGCACAGGCAACTATGCCATGCCAGGAGAGGGATGGACATGTCATTCAGGTTCTTTACTATCTGATTCCTAGGAAGATATCCCCTTCTATTTGGTTTTCATGTTGCAGCTGCAGTTCCTTTGCTGTTTCCCCTTTTTACTCCAACTCTTCTCCCTTTAGCCAGAATGGAATTAACAGAAGTGTCCCCATGTGGAGCCGGCGAACTAACAGCAGATTTGAAGATTGTGAACAGACATCATAGTGATAGTATAGGCCAGTTTTCATAAGAGCAGTTACAAGAATAGGTCTGCCTGTTGTGATTTTCATTAACAGAATTCCCATAAGGGTTTAGAAGATTGTTCAACCAGTACAAGTGCTTTAAAATGGTTTAAAAAGCCAAAACAAACACTGTAAAATATGAACAGCATGTTCCCCCAAATGTTTCAGGATTTGAAATGAGAGCCGGTGATTATCCTTTTCAATAACATTATGGTTGCCTCCTGACTTACACTGAGTGGCTGAGTGACTACAGCTATGCTGATTAGTATGAAGAAGACTTTGTGAAAACTTCATAACATCCGCTGACTACTTTTAATAATAAATTAATCTGACATTTGGCATGTTTCTGGAGGTAGTGCTGGTTTCCTAACTCATTGTCTGTTCAAAAATCTGCTATAATTACATCTATAAAATAGGTTCTACCCGAATGTTCCAACTGCATCTATTAAACAGAGTCATAATGATAATGCTTATTACCTGGCCCGGGAATCGTTGGTTGTGGCTGTGTTGGCTAATGTCAGACAAGAACAATAACCTCATCTGTGAAGCTCACTCCTGTCTGTTCTTAGCCAGGGTGATAAATATGACACTTACATACAGGCCTGACATCCCATATCCTGTCCTACAAATGTGTTTCCTGTTGGCTGATCAATTCGGTGTGCTCTATCTCTAGCTGGATTGCGAGCACATCTGGAATAAATCATAAGCCTGTCTCCATGGTTATTCTGAGCACTATTGCAATTGATCTCGATTACATAAAGAAACCAAAACAAAATCTGTCCCCACTAACACAAACACAGAAGTAAAAAGGGCTACACTTTGGAAAGTCAAAGAAATTTAGAATACAACTGTTCGATGGTTCAGTGTCACTGAATTAAGTCAATCCCAAAATATAAATGTTTCTGGCTTAAATCTTTTGGCATGAAAATGAAGATGGGCTGGAAGTGGGTACCACAACTATTTCATCAGTAATGTCATAAGACTATGAGAGCATTAGACATAAGAACATAAGAGCAAAACTCAGCCATTCGGCCCTTCACATCTGGTCTGCCATTCAATCATGGCTGATGTGTTTCAGCAAGGATATCAATCTTAATTTTCCAAGAAGTAAAACATAATTCTATACATCCTGTTTTTACGATCCAGTGCGAGTAAGGATTTTAATGCTTTGTTTTAATCAGCACCCAGCAGGAATACAGATTGGCAGACTTTAGTGGTGGGAGTGTGTGTGTGGGAATTAGGGGAGCTCCAATTTTTTTCGGTTATGGCCACACCAATCAGGTAACCTGTCAGTTGGCTCATGTTGATGCCTGTATTTTACACAATCAAGCTGTAGTCTCAGTGCTAGAAGCTGCTCTTTGTTTTGTGTGTAGTCCCTAGTCAGGCCCTCAAGATGATTTCAATTTGTGTAAAACCAGTTGAGGATCAAATTTTTGCAGAGGACCCACCATAACATTAGTAAAGATGGGCCAGAAACTTTAGAGAAAAGATGCAAATCCCATAAACTTTCCGCCAGTTACAGCGGACAACTGGGAGAAAGGCCTACAGGAATTCCAAGCACCAGTGATGTTTCCTGAGCTTTCCACAAGTCTGTCAAACCCATTGAGCAGTCATTTAAAACCGTGCTGGTCTGATTAGTTAGACAAATATATTCTTAACGATGGGCATGATAAGTATCTCGAAAAAAATGGTATTACAGAAGAATTGAAACATCCTCTTTTTGGTTGCATGAATATCACACGGCTTCTGGCCCACTTTTGTTTTGCAATGTTTTGAACCATCTTTTTCATGCCTCACTGGTTAATTGGAAGCTGCTGTAATATAATTCAGAAAGTTATAATAACTCTGTGTATCGCCTTTGTATTGCAAGATGGAAGAGGTAAGTTGTGCATATTTTTTATCCTTGCCCATTATTCCCAAATCCTTCCTGCCTTCAGATAATATTGCCAAGCATGTCAAAGAACATGCCTGCTTGCACTTCACCAGCAAGGCAATCATAGAATTAGGCAATCTGGGGGAGCTAAAGCTAAACCTAAAACTGAAGCCAAATTGCATAGCATATTAGCTACTGCTTTGAATGATTCCAAAGCCCGTTAAGCAATCACTAGAATTTAAGCCAAATTAGCTCAAAACTAAGATTCATTGTGGTTTCTGATAATCTATTGGGAAATGAACAACGTTTTTCACCAAAAGTAAAACTTTGTAAATTACCCTTGTGTATGAATTCATTTCAAAAAATATACTTCTGTTCTTGCTAAAGCGACACTTCATCAAGGTGATCACGTTCAAGTATTGCAATAAAATGAAGTCTCTGCATTAAAGTCTGAGTCCCTTCCTAATAGCACTGAGAGTGTCCCTACAGCCCAAGGTCTGTAAACCACCTTCTCTAGGGCAATAATTGCTGGCCTACACCACAATGCCCACATTTTAATAATGACTTTTAAAAAAATGAAAAATTTCCACTATGTCATAATTCCTCCCTACACTTTGCTTTCAATCATTTACCTTCGATTTCTCAATATCAAATGGACTGGAAAATCAGTGGTCTAAGGAACAAATAGTAACCATTAAAACTATAAAAGCAAAACATACATGTAAATGCATCTGATATATGGATGATTCAATTACAAACATGATCCCCTGATTGTAGGTACAAAATAAGGCTGCTTAAACACCAAACAGCAGAGGAAGCACACAATAAACAGAGAATTGAGTTTAAGAGCTATGAGGTTATGCTGCAGCTCTATAAAACTCTAGTTAGACCACACTTGGAATATTGTATTCAGCGCTGGTCACCTCATTAAAGGAAAGATGTGGAAGCTTTAGAGAGGGTGCAGAGGAGATTTACCACGATGCTGCCTGGTCTGGAGGGCAGGTCTTATGAGGAAAGGTTGAGGAAGCTAGGGCTTTTCTCATTGGAGCGAAGAAGGATGACAGGTGACTTGATAGAGGTGTACAAGATGATGAGAGGCATAGATAGAGTGGATAGTCAGAGATATTTCCCCAGGGCAGAAATGACTACTACGAGGAGGCATAATTTTAAGGTGATTGCAGGAAGGTATAGGGCAGATGTCAGAGGTAGGTTCTTCACACAGAGTGGTGGGTGTGTGGAATGCGCTGCCGGCAGTGGTAGTGGAATCAGATATTTTAAAGATTTTTAAGCAACTCTTGGATAGGCACATGGAGGATAGTAAAATGACAAATGGCATCATGAATGGTGCTGTGCAGTTATTCACCTCAGCAGAAGATGCTCCACAAATATGTTAAGCAAGCACAATGAGATTCAACATTAAACAGCCTCACAAAATTAAAAACAGAACAATTGAACACTACACTCACCATCCTTAATGATGTGGATGTCCAGCACCTCATTGCAAAATAGAAGGCTGAAACATTTCCAACCATCTTCGGCCAGAAGCTTCAAGTGGATGATCTCTCACAGGATCTTCCTGAGCTTTATGGCTTCACAGATCCCAGTCTTCAGCCAATTTTATTCACTCAACATGATATCAAGAAATAGCTAATGGCACTGGATTCTGCAAAGGCTATGGCTATCACAAAATTCCAGCAATAGCACTGAAGAAGATGTGGGCAACCAAATTAGTGCCATTTCTAGCCACACTGTCACCATTTTGTAATTGTACTGGAACAAAGAGAAAAGGCTATAGTTTTAATGAAAGGTCACTGCACTTGAAACATTAATTCTGCTTCTCTCTCTACAAATGCTGGCAGATCTGCTGAGCTTCTCCAGCTGTATCAGTTTGTGTTTCAGATTTCCAGCATCTGCAGTTCTTTGTTTTTACAAAATTGGGATGTACCTGACAATGTGGAAAATCATCCACATATGCTCCACTGACAAAGAACAAAATTAATCCAAACTGGCTGACTACCACCCAATCAGGCTATTCTCAAATCATCAGCAAATTTATACAAAGGTGTCACTGTAGTGCTAATAACCAGTACTTGCACAGCAATCTTTTAGGGTCACTTGATGATTATGTCGTTACAGCCTTGGTCTAATGGAAAAAGAGATAAACTCAAGTAGTAAAATTGGAGTGACTGCCTTTGATATCAAGGCAGCATTCACTGCATAGTATAGCAGGAGCTGTAGTAATATTGAAGTCTTTGAGAATCAGAGGAAAACTCTCCACTAGCAGGAGTCAGAGTCATGCCACGCACATAAGAAGATGATTGTAGTACTTTGATGCCAACCATCCCAATCCCAGGGTATCTCAGCAGGAGTTCCTCAAGAGAGTGCCCTAGGCCCAACCATCTTTAACAGCTTCATCAACGACCATCCCTCAATCATAAGGTCAGAATTGGGGATGTTAACTGATGATTGCAAAATGTTCAGCACCATTCTTGAATGTTTTTGTGTCCATGTGGCACAGGACTTGGACAACATTCAGACTTGGCCTGGTAGGTAGCAAGTAATATTTGTACCAAATAAGTGCCAGACCATGACTGGTTTCAGCAAAAGGCAATCTAACTTTCTCCTCTAACATTTAAAAACACAACTATCGCTGAATTTCCTCACTACCCTTGACCAGAAACTGAACTGGAACTGCCCTATATGTACTACGGCTACAAGTCACATCCTAAGAATTCCACATTAAGTAATGCACCAAAATATTGCCCACCAGCTAAAAGGTACAATTTGGGAGTTTGATGAAATTCTCTCCATGGACCGAGATGAGCGCAGCTCCAACAACACTGAAGAAGCTCATCAGCATTCAGGACAAGTATGGTACCCAATCCACCACCTCCAGCATTCATTCCTTCCAGCACCAGCTCTCAGCAATAGCAGCATGTATAATCTACAAGATGCACTGCAGTAACTAACCAAGGCTCCTTCAACAGCACTTTTCAAACCTGAGACATCAATCATCTAGCAGGATAAGGACAGCAGGTACATGCGAACACTACTATCTACAAGTTCCCCTCCAAATCAAATACCATCCTAACTTGGAAATATATCATCATCTGGAAATGACTATTACGAGGGGACATAATTCTAAGGTGATTGGAGGAAGGTATAGGGGAGATGTGAGAGGTAGGTTCTTCACACAGAGAGTGGTGGGCGTGTGGAATACGCTGCTGGCAGTGGTAGTGGAGTCAGATACTTTAGAGACTTTTAAGTGACTCTTGGATAGGCACATGGAGGGTAGTAAAATGTAGGGTATGCCCGGTAGTTTGATCTTAGTAGGATAATAGGTCGGCACAACATTGTGGGCCGAAGGGCCTGTACCGTTCTATGTTCCATGTTCTATGTATCACCCCTTCACTGTTACTGGGTCAAAATCCTGAAACTCTTTTTGTTAATATCTCTACATTGCAGTGAGCTCAGCTGTTGAGAAGGTAGTCGTGAGCTGCTTTCTTCCATGGTAATTAGGTATGGGCAATAAATATTGGCCTAGCTATTGAAACCCACATTTCATCAAAAAAAAAGTAAAGAGCAACTAATGCTGGTCTTTCCAGCACTGCTCATATAAATGAAAAATTAAAATATAATAGAATGATTTCATATTTATTCATTCATAAAAGGTTATCCACATCATTGGCTGGG